CCACCCCCGCTCCGTCCTGCCTCCCCATCTCCCATCTCATTTAGGCCCTTTCACCCTTTCCCTCCTCTTCTCTGCATGTTATTTYCCTGACTAGGTTCAATCTGTTTTAGTTTGTGATTCGTGATTTGATCATTTGGTAAGCAGGGATCTCACTTCTTTCATTTTTCACGCTTGAAATGTCATGGAAAAGACAGATAGCAACTCTGCCTGCMCCACCCAGACCAGATGTTTGGGTTTTGTTTTATCTGCTCTGCATTTTCCTGAATGATCATTACTCCAGGGTTCTATAAACTGTTGACTCCTAGTGGTGTTTACTGCATTTTAGTGACTACTCACAAGCATTTACCTGTACTGAATTCATTCTCAAAAAGCTATGAGGTGAGCTATGAGCGAYATGAGGAAATAGTGCAGGATGCAACATTCCTGTCCTTTTATTACTATTTTTGCAGGGCTTTACTCTTAAAACAATTCAGTCTTTTTGCATATATGTTTAAATTGATTTTCTGCAGACATTATTTGAAGCTTAAGTTGTAAACATGACCGCACAGCTTTGAATTTCTCATAGAAACATGTGCAGCATGAAACCAGTTATGTCTTATTTAAGGAAGGGTGACCAATTTCTTTACATAATTTTCCARTTTCTTTTTTTYCCCTCAGAGTTAAAAAGTTTACTGCAAAGGGCTCAGCTCCCACTGAGGAAAGTGGAGGTGTTGTGTATGCATGTTTGCTTATTTCTGTTTGGCGTGTTTTCTGCAGGTCTGTGTGTGTATCCTCTGCTTGGTCTAGAGGGTCGATTTCAAGGAGGAAACTCGAGTCGGCGTTGTCAGACGGGGGTGCAGTGAGAGCTCGGGTGTCCTAATGGAAGTTCGGTGCGCTGTGGAGACACAGAAAGTCCTCCCAGTCATGTCTGGACAAAAAAAAAATTCAAATTTTTTTTGTTTTATGCTTTAATTATGTCTAAAATCGTTAAAATTGAGATTTCAGATTGATTCAGGCTCTCGTGGGACAGATAAAATGCTTTAATTCTCCTCAGCAGAACTGCGCGTGTGCTTGCTAAGTTGRTCATTATTAATACAGCATCAAAAAAATGTATTCTTAGAACAGAAATGCTTATTAAGTCAAATATAAACCATGCCATGTCATCTTTATTCCTGTACGGAGGTATTTTGAGTTTTTGGTATAGCAGGGTTACTAAAATCAGAACTTAAAACCATGTTTCCATCAGTGCGTGTGCGTCAGCAAGAAGTAAAGTCGAAAAGGTGTGTAATGACGTCAAACCAGCATTATCAGACACCTTGCAAAAAAAGAYCAAGTGATAAAGATAGCTTGTGTGGTTCACAAATAGCACGGATCTTATTTTTGATCTTGGCGAGACAGCATTTTGTGTTTGTGATCTTATCACATTTAAAGCTCTCCCTGTGGTCAGACAGACAGGCCTGCCTTCCAAACAACAGTCAAAGATCTGAAACCCACCCTCTGATGTGTCCATGACCACCTCTCACCGTGATGAGAGACTGTAGCAGGCAGGATGGAAACACAGACGTGGATAAAACTTGTTATTTTCTCTGTAAATTAGTGTGTTAGGTGAGTAAATACCTATTATTTTAGTAAATCAAAGTTACACTCTATTTGTATCCAACATAATGATGTTTAGTGGAAATGTTAGGTATTGAAACAACAATAAACAGGGGTGTGTGTGGGTCTGTATGCACAGAACCAATGAAGTGTGTTTGCCATGAGCGGAGACTCCTGTGTTTCCTGTGCATTTGCATGTGTCTGTTGCGTGCCCTTTGTTGTGGGGCAGTTCTGAGGAGCTCCGGGTGTGTTGGGTGTAATCGTCTGCACAGCTGAGCAGCAGCTTTGCTCCGTGCTGAGTTTGAGAAGCTTGGCGCGCTCCTCGCCGTCCGGCTTACTCTGCCGCCGGGGCCTGTAAACAGGCTGAAGTTTGTGCAAGGGGAGATTACGTCGGTGGTGGAAAGTGGGTCAGACAGTGGGCACCAATTTTTATGGTCTTGTTTCTGCAAGGTAGGGAATAAAAGAGGAAGGGGAAACATTAAACCACCAGTCATTTTTCATGATGTTGATTTCGGAAGCTTCTGGTTCGGACAAAGTTTTTTTTGTCACAACTTCTTGTGCGTTTTCTAAAAAGGCAGGTAGTTTTTCGCTGGGTGCGCTTCAAGGAGACATACATTTTGTTCAAAGTGTGACTTTCTTTGTATTTCTAAGCCCTGAGAAGCAAGATGTGGCACTTAAAGACAACTGCTTTTCTTTTAGTAACACAGAAACAGACATTTAAAAGTATTTATGTAAAAATAAACAAAAAAATCCATATTTTTAGAGTACTAATGTCATTTTAAAGCTTGCTCTGATATTTGTTGATTTCTTAAAGACACCAATAATATTTTGAGGTTAAAACGGGCTAATAATGTCCTAATTTTTACCCCAATTTTAACTACTGAGGGGAAACAAATGCCTATTTGGAAACGCATTGTCTTTACATGCAGACATGCAGCCTAAAATTCATTTTGTGCACACTAGTCTGTTACGTTGGTATCATTTAGCACAGCGTTGTGTTACACCACCCATTTTGTTACCTGAAAATGATGAATCCCGTTCTAAAAATGTCTCCTGAAGTCAAACATTGTCAGATTGTCTACCATATATATA